GACCATGAGTCTCAGGGCTAGATCGGGTCGCTTCCCATCAATCAGTTTTCTTATTCGCAAAAGCCAACTGGCGCTTCACCACACAAGCATTCTTGCATCTCACCACGCAACATTGTGTCGATCTCCTTCTTCGAGCGGCGGGATGACGAAGGACTAAATGCTATACCAGTGTGTTTAAAGCAGTTAAGAACAATCTCGCTGTCGATGTCCTTCCAGCACGATTTTACCCATCTCATAGCACACAGTTGACCAACCGTGTAAATATTACAACTTTGCTCCGATTCCTCCAGATCTAGTGCGTGCTGTAGCTTACGGTGCCGGTACCCCCGTTTCAATGCCGCTATAATACCAGCGTCTAAGGGCTGCAGCTTGGACGTAGTGTTAGGGGGTAGGACGTGGACGGTCACATTCTGCAGCTCCAAGTCCGTGACATTATGCGACGAAGCATTATCCATGAGCAACACAACGTTGCGCTTCTGACGCTGCATGTCTGAACCAAATTCCCGCAGCCAGTCCCGGAACAGCAATCCTGCCATCCACGCTTTTTTGTTGTTCTTGTAGCTGAAACCAAGCTCAGTGCCGCTTTTCTTCTTGAAGCACCTCGGCTTGTTCGCATGCCCAATGAACAATGGTTCGCGCATGTCAGATCAGTCTGCATTACACGTATGAACAAGTGTGATTCTCGTCTTACTCTTTTTGCTGCCTTCAATGTGCTCACGAGCAATATTTTGGTCGGGGCACAAGTTGTAAAATAGACCAGTTTCATCAAAGTTGTAAATGTCTGCTAGCGCAAAGTCCTTCACCACGGAGCGGATTCTCGCTAGCTGTTCTGGAAGTGATGCAGTGTCGACAGATCCACTTCGCCAAAAGTAGTAAAACTCTTGAAGCCATGGCGATTCTGAAATGAGGCAAGCCAGCCATTTGAAAATGCAAGTTTGTCTTTCTCGCACAAACCCATTTTGTCCTGCAGACGTATGGCCTTAGCTTTTACTAAATTACCGTCAATCATGATGCGGCGGGCCTGGCAGTGTAGCACCCAGTTTGCAAGTGCAGTATCCAGCTCAGGAATAGCGACATGGTGCGATCGTCTTGCTTGCAAGTCTTCATCCTTGGCGTTCAAATACACGTCCTTTCGCGCATGAATGGCTGATATGGTTCCCTGGGCAGGCAAATTTTCGTTTCGCTCTTGCAGCGAGCT